AGAGGCAGGGAGGGCATTAGTTGTATCGACCAGTGTGTGTATATAAACATATCTATGTCATAAATCAGTGTGCGTGCATAGGCATATACGGGTATAATAAATACAGTGAAGGAGAGGAGTGAGAGAAAAAGAATTCTTTCTTTCTGTTTTAGTTTTCTGAGACAGGTCTCATAGCCCAGGCTAACCTTGAAGTTCTTATGTAGCTAAGAATGACTTTGAACTTCTAACCCTTCTGCTGCCACCTCCTGAGTGCTGGAATTGCAGATGTCACTTCCACTCCCAGTTTATTCCAGGCTGGGGATCTAATCCAGAATTTGGTGCATAATTCTGCTCTCCAGTGCCTGGGTTGTAAGTGTGTGCCACTCTGCCTGGTGCCATCTTGAGATTTTTTTTCTATGCTTTCTAAAAAGGGGAGCCCTAAAATTTCCATTATACCCTGCATTCTGCAGAACCAGCTCTGCAGCCATGGATGTCCCCATTGTGAGACTGGGATCTTGCATCATTCTGGAACTGGATTTGGAGCTGAAGGCCCAGAAGGCCAGCAAGGCCAGACCTTGCAACACAGTCCCTGCTTCCCTTACAAAAGCATTAACCACTGGTTTAACTCCTCATATGCCAGAGATCTAATCCCTCCAAGCACTATGCATGCATGACTTCAAACCTCGTCATACCATCTTCCTTTAATTAAAGGGTAAGGCGTGTGGCAAAGACTTTTCCAAAAACATTTTTTAAATTTGTTTGTTGTGTATTGGTATTTTGTTTTCATTTAAGAGCACCACATTCATGTAGTGCCCTCGGAGGCAGGGGGAGGCTGTTGGATCCCCCAGAACTACAGTTATAAACTGTTATGAGCGACCGTGTGGGTGCTAGTAACTGAACCAAGGGCAGCCACTGTTTTAACCACAGTGCCCTCTCTCAGCCCCAGCAAACATATTTAACCCCAGGACTAGAGGCAAAGGCAAGTAGATCTCTGTGAGTTCCGAGGCCAGCCTGATCTACATAAGGAGTTCCAGCCCAGCTAGGGCTACATAGTGACACCCTGTCTGAACAACAAAATAAAATAGATTAAGAACATCTATTCTGAGGATATTCCAGAACTCACATATTTTCCATTGTCATCACCAATTAAAGACAACTCTCATTTTCTTCATAGTTTCCTTATTGACCTTCCCTGGGGAGGGGAATCATTTCCTTTAAACCCATTGTTTTCCTAGATAGTAGCGGGTCCCCCACTCCCAGTTTCTCACCAGCTCTAGAGAATGATTCCTGGTAAAATAGACTTTGTGTCACACAGTTCACCAGCTTCAAAAAGGAAGTGTATGATGCTGGGTGTATTCTGGGCAGTGGTGACACACACCTTTAATCCCAGCACTTGGGAGGCAGAGGCAGGCAGATCTTTGAGTTTGAGACCAGCCTGGTCTACAAGAACTAGTTCCAGGACAGTCTCCAAAGCTACACAGAGAAACCCTGTTTCAAAAACCCAAAACAAAACAAAACAAAAACAAAACAAAAAGGAAGTATATGCAGAATCAAGGCAATGCTTGAGGTCTTGTTTGGTTTTCCTGGTTTCAGTTTGCTCTGGCTGTCTTGTGGTGAGAACCTTTGTCCACAGGCCTGACATGGGTTTCTGGGGATTGGGCCTTTAGTTCCTCCCCTTGGAGGGCAACATCAGAGAAGTTTTGTGAGAGTCACACTTAAGAGACACACTTTCTTTCAAAATCGGTTTTTATTAGGACCAAGCAACTCAAGCGTGAAAAATTATGCCCAAGGGCAGAGTTAAAAACAGGTGTTTTCATAGGTTTCTATGTTTTTATTTTTGCCTGTAGGATGTGTGCATGTACACTAGTGTGAGTGTTATGTGAAGACCAGAGGTAACCCTCTGCTGTCATTCCTCAGGAAAAAAGTTTATTTATTGTGTGTTTGCACATGCATGTATGAATACACAAGTGGAGGTCAGAGACACACTGTGGGAGTTCTCTTCTTCCACTGCAGAGGTTCCTGGGTAGATCAAGCTCAGATAGTCAGCCTTAGTGGCAAGTGCCTTTATCCACTGAGCCATCATGTAGTCCCTTCCTTGTTTGGTTGATTGTTTTTGTTGTTGTTTTCTTTTTGAGACAGAGTCTCTCACTGAGACCTAGGGCGCACCCATTCAGCGAGGCTGGCCAGTGAGCCACTCCTGTCTCTGCCTCCCCAGCTCTGGGTTTATGAGTGTGTGCTGCCCTTATGAATTCTACAGACCGAACTTAGGTCCTTGTGACTGTGTGGTAGGCTCTTTACTTATTGAAATAGCTACCCAGCCAGTTTCCACAGATTTCTATCATACAGCAGAGGCTGGCAGATCTCAAGTTCAAGACCAGCAAGTGGGCTGGGTGGTGGTGGCACACACCTTTAATCCCAGCGTGCAGGAGGCAGACATAGGCAGATCTCTGAGCTCTAGGTCAGCCTGGTCCACAGAGTAAATTCCAGGACAGCCAGGGCTACACAGAGAAACCCTGTCTTGAAAAACAAAACAAAAAGACCAGCATGTTCCAGGTCAGGGCTATGCAGTGAAACCCTGTCTCAAAAACAAAATAATAACAACAACAACAATAACAATAATGGAGATAAAGAGAAAGGCTATGTGATCCTTGAAGCTGGTAAGAATTCTTGGCTTGACTCCTTCCTAGGAAGCAGAAGTCAGGTAGTGGCAATGGAGTGGCTGGCTGCTTAGGGGCTCTTGACTCTCATGTGTTCACTTCTTTGTATTTACTTTAGTGGAACCACATGCTATTGTGTCAGTCACTACAGAGTCACCATGAAATTCTGAATCCTGGCTCACAAAGCCATTATTTTCCCTTTTTCTTTTCTGCCTTCTTTTGACCTGACTGCAGCCTAAGCATCCTGTTGCTGGCATTTCAGGCTTTTCCACTCTTTTCCTGAAACCCTCTTCCCTGCTCTGTGGCTGCTCATCCACTCTGTGGCTATTGAGAAAAACCACGGCTTTCCTCTCTTTCCCTTCTCCATCTGCTGAGATTTACAGCTTGCCTGCCCTGGAATTTTTTCTTCTAAGTTTGAATAAAATTATCCTTGAGCTTAAAAACAACAAACCACCTGTGACTGAGAAAACTGACTCAAACCATCGTAAGTCATTACTGAAAGCTTGTAGCCAGATGTAGGTCGCATACCTTATGTGCACATAGTCACTCAGCAAGTATCTATTATCACTTACTATAAGCTGATAGTCTCCTTCTAGGCACCTGGGACAAAACAGTAAAACAAAGTCCTTATGCTTCAAGGTTATACATTCATTGAGTTTGCCCCCTAAACCTTTTGGAGTCAGTATTACCCCTGTTGGACAAATGGAGAAATCAAAATTGAACATGGTTATATAGACTCTTCCCTAAGAGCATGTGTCTCATAAGTATTTGAGTTAGGAATCAAAATGAGATCCACTTGACTGTGCAGCCAATACAATTGTTATTGCATTGTGTGTGTATGTGTGTGTGCATGGAAACCAGAGAACAACCTTTGAGAGTCAGTTTTCTCCTTCCACCACATGGGTCTCAGGGATACTCAGGTTGACAGCTTGGTAGCAGGTCACTTTACCCATTGAGCCATCTTTCCAGCCCTGTAGTCAGACCATGTTTTTGGCTACCAGAGGTGTACAACACTTCTGGCAAGGGAAACCATAGAGACAGCCTAGAGGAGTGTCTCAGGCTAAAGACATAAAAGCTGTCAGGGTTCCTGCATGGGGGAGAATCCCCCGGGAATTGGAGAAAGTGTAAATAGAAGAATGACTGTCACCACTTTGGAAGTGGAGCTAAGGTTGACACAGGGTCTGTTTTCCTTTCTCCAGGACAGGAGCAGCCTGTATTTCACAAAAGCATCTAGTTGTGAGAGCTCCAGGAAGTATTTGGGGAACACGTATGCAACAGGGGAGATCCCAAAGGTTGTATAGGCCCCTGAAGACATTGTTCAACATCAGGGAGAGGAGCTGAAATGTCTCTCTCTGCACCCTGCCCCCCAGAACTTTACAGTCTCCCAAGAGTGAGTTGACTAACAATGCTCCAGCTAAAAGGGGGGCAAGGGATTAGGAGTGGAGCTCAGCTGTGAGTGCTAGCCTAGCTAGCACCAGCCCCAAATTCAATGCCCAGCACCAAAAAATAAAACAAAGAGATGGCATAGTGCTGGACAACATGATATGAATTCAATAAGGACTTGAGAATGAATGAATGAATGAATGAATGGTTTCAACTCATATTCATGCAAAAACAGCCATGCTTGAACTAGCACATCCCAAATACCAATAAGGACCCCTGCTGCAGGGCCCAGGCTCTCAGCTTCCCCTGAAGAAACTGGAGAAACTACAGCAGGTAGATGGTTCCTCAGCATCTTCTCTGAAATGCAAACAAAGAAAAAACAGGCAAAACCAAACCACCTAAAATCTGAAAAATGTGGAGCCGGAAGGTTAGGACAGATTCTTTTTGCTGTCCTCCTGGACCACCTGGAAGTTCGAACACAGAAAATGAAATGTATGGAGGCTCCCTGGGGAAGAAAACCCAGCCAGGACCACACATCCTGATGTAAAGTGCCTCCCTCGGCTGGAAATCAGTGTATTGACTCAGTTCAGATTCTATTTTTTTTTCTTCTGTCCAAGGAATTCTGACAAATTCATTAACTCTCAGAGCAAAACCAAGACCCAGCAACACTCATACCTATTTTCCCAACCATGTAAAAAGTAGCACAGGCTCTGAGCAGTTCCTAACCCAACACGTTTCCCTACACACACACACACACACACACACACACACACACACACACACACACCCCATCCCCTTACCATAGCAATCAGAGTATTTAAACACACTTCAAGCAACTGAACCCTTCTAGAAACGGTTGATTTCATGTCCACCTGAGTGAGAGAAAGACGCAGCTGAGAAAGAGTGGTGGCATTTTTGAAGTCCCCTACCCATTTAACTCACAGTTGCCCATCCCTCTGCCTTGTTTTTAGGCTATTTGTCTTAATGCCATTCAGCACACTTGGAGATCCCACTGCCCGTCTGATGGCCTTTGGGAGCTATTTGCCCCGTCGATGGAACTCTTACGACAGAGGTTAGAAATTGGCATCTCCTCTGACCTCTGTGTCTTCGAGCGTCCTGGGCGTTTGGGTCTCAAATTGCAGATTTTGAGCTTGGTATAGAATTTGGGGAATGAGGGGCTTGAGAAATAATATACAAGAGGATCCAGCATGCTGTTCAGGTAGGTGAAACTGAGGGTGACATGGAGGGCTATGTGGACAGAGGGGTCACAGGCGCTGGAGGGAACTGTCCAGAGGAAATAGAGCCTGGCCAACACGCTGGGCAGGTAACACGTGATGAACACAGCAGCCACCACCATGATGAACCGGGTGGCCCTCTTCATCCGAGTCTGTCTGGCCAGCTGCTGTCTCTGTCTCAGGCTCCAAACAACTTTGAAGGAGCAAAACAAGATGATGGCTAGGGGCAGGAAGAACTCCAGCTGGAACATGATATCATGCCACCCGTTGGCTGACTCCATGATGAAGCTCTCACAAGATGACACTGTCTCCTGAACGCACAGGTGACTCTCCATGAGAAGATACACAGTCCCCAAGATGACCAAGGTCCAGAGCACACAGGCGGTGGCAGCTGCTGTCTGATTGGATATGGCGTTCATCATGTGGTGGGGGTGGACCACTTTGAAATACCTGTCGGCAGCCACCACGGTGAGGAAGACAATACTCCCGGCCCTATTCATGGCCAGCATGAAGAGGACCAGGCGGCAGGGAATATCCCCAAAAGTCCAGTGTCTATGTCTGAGGTAATAGTCTGTCCGCAAGGGTAGGCAGATCATGAGGAGAAAATCAGCGACGGCCAGGTTGAAAAGGTAAATAGTGCTCGGCTTCCAGGTTTTCATGTGAAAGCAGAAACCACACAGAGCTATCCCGTTTCCCAGGGCGCCAAGCACGAAGGCCAGGATGAGTAGCGGTGGCATCACCTGGGAGATGGGGTCCCCCTCGATGAGACAGCAGGACCTGTTGTCCATGGCAGTAGAAGAGAGAACGAGTGTCCCTGGGTGACCGGTATAAAGGCACAGATGCCTATCTGAACACTACCACTCCCCCAGCGGCTGGACTCCTAACCTCATCACCCTGGGATGCAGCCGCTACACCCACACGAGAAACTTCAGCCCAGAAACGGAAGCCTGAAGCAGGTCCTTTTTCCTCCTCAGTGTGGATCACAAGCTCCATGTCCCTGGAAGGGGTGAAGCCTGCGCCTGGGCCAGGCTCTGAAGTGCAAGCCATTTTCCACACGTGCACATTTCTGGGACGAAGCTCTGGGGTCCGATGGGATGCATGCTGCAGAGGAATTGCTGGATCCAGCCCTGGGGAGGGTTTTTCTTTTCTGATTCTGTCTTCAGTCTGTGCTGCAGAGTGCAGAGTGCTCAGAGCTGCCCAGAGGCTTGGGGGGCGGGGGAGCTTGTTTGCCCTCCCTCCTGGTGGAGAAATCTAAACATTTCCTGGAGTCATTCTGGGCCTCTGCCTAGTGCCTTTCCTCCCTAACCTTTGCCTGACTGCCCCGTCCTCCCCAATCCCCTGGGACAATCCCATGCAGTGCCAGAGAGGGGAGACCGTGTTCTGCAGCCTCTCAGGGCCACTTCCTGTGCCCACACTCAGAAATACAGCCTTCAACACTCGGAAGGGTCTGCAGAAAAATGAAGTTGTAAGCAGGTATCAGAAAAATTCTTTGAGTTGAAGGTGTAGCTCAGGGATGCCATGTGAAAAGCTCTGGGCTCTATTTTCTTTGTCAGTCCTTTCCAAAAAGATACTAAAATTATACGAAGTGTACCACTTTTCCTCTTCCAGAGGAGTGGGTAGTTAGTTACTTTTGCAAAAAGTTGGCTTTTTCCCAACAGTGGCTCAGAACCAAACATCACAATATAGCATGTTGGTGAGGGTCTGTGAGTCTGTGAGAGGTCAAGTGGTTGCCTAAGGAGTCAATTTCTAAAATAATTACAACCAGAACTAGACTGCTTAAAAAACTGGGAGTCTTTGCGGAAATGTCCTGTCCTTTGGCTTGAGAGAGTGTCCATCTGCCCTGTGCCTTTCCCAATTTAGGAAGGGTGGGGAGGAGAGTGCACTGAAAGAACTGGCTGGCTCATTCTTCTACTTGCTTACTGAAGCTAGATTTGAGCTGGATGTGTGGTGCAGGCCTGGAACACACACACACTTTTAAATAAAGATTTATTTGATTATTTTACTTATATGTAAGTGCTCATGGGGCCAGAAGAGGGCATTGGATCCTCTGAGCTGGTGGTGGTGATGAATATAAGTCCCCTGGAAGGACAGGAGGTGCCCTTAACCACTGGGCAATGTCCTCACCACCACCCCTTTTCTTTTTTAAAGAACCAGTCTCAAGTGGCCCAGGTTGGTTTTGAACTTGCTTTGTAATTAAAGATGACCTTGAATTCCTTGTCTTCCACCTCCCAAGTACTGAGATTAAAGGGTGGAGTCATTACCTGGAATCCACTTTTTTTTTTTTGTCCCCACCTCTTCTTTTTCTTCTCCCTTTATTTCACTCCCTCCTTTTCCTAGTCTTTTTCTTGCTCTCCCCCTCCTTCCATCCCTTCCTGACGCTTCAAGGCGGGATCTCTGCATAGTTCAGGCTTCCTTTGAACTCTTCATCCTTGAGTGTCACTGTGCCCGGTGTTTACACTTTTCCAACTCCAAATCAGCCCCACGCATCCTCCACTGCAGCTCCCCCGCAGACTCCACCTTTCCTGCATCCTCTACTGCAGCTCCCCTGCAGACTCCACCTTCCCTGCATCCTCCACTGCAGCTCCCCCCGCAGACTCCACCTTCCCTGCATCCTCCACTGCAGCTCCCCCGCAGACTCCACCTTCCCTGCATCCTCCACTGCAGCTCCACTGCAGACTCCACCTTCCCTGCATCCTCCACTGCAGCTCCCCCGAAGACTCCACCTTCCCTGCATCCTCTACTGCAGCTCCCCTGCAGACTCCACCTTCCCTGCATCCTCCACTGCAGCTCCATTGCAGACTCCACCTTCCCTGCATCCTCCACTGCAGCTCCCCCACCTTCCATGGCACCCCCCACCGCTCCCCATCACTGCACACTGTTGCCTTCCACATGGCTGTAGAGACTGCATCTTACGTGGTTTCCCTTCCTCTCGTCTGTCTTTAAAATTCAACGTCACAGAAAAATTAACCTTGTTCTGTCCTGTGGCCCGCATCCAGGGCTTTATGTATTCTAGGCCAGTGCTTCTGCTGTGCTGGGGGGAGGGGGAGTTCCCATAGCTTTTTCTTCCCCCTTTTCTCTCCTCCCCCCCCCCCCCGTCCCCCCCCCCCCCCCCCCCGTTCCTCTCCTCCCCTCTTCCTCCTCCTTTGTTCTGAAACAGGATCTCTATATTGCGCAGATTGTCTTTCTGTCTTTGACCTGGATATGTAGCCCAAGCAGGTCTTAGAACTGTGATCTTCCCACCTCTGCTAGTCCACCATGACCAGCAAGGCTCAGCTAGTAAAATATTTTTTCTTTTTTCATCTAAGGGCCTCACTAACTCCTTATAGTCTGTGAAAGTGCAAGAGTATGGGGCACACATGGTTTAAAAAAAAAAAAAAAAAACTCTTTAGTTTGGTTCACTGCTCTATTATATGGTGCTCTATTCCTGAGCTACATCCCCAGGCCATTTTGTATTACTTTGTGGAGACAGCCTCACCCTCTAGCCCAGGACAACTTCAGTCTCCTTATTACTGGCATTGCAAGCCTGAGTCACCATGCCTGGCTGGCCCACAGGTTTTTAACAGCTTTGAACTGTCTTTTTTTTTTTTAGCATTTAGCAGCATTCATTTTATTTATTTTTTAAAGCTGGGCATGGTGTCTTGTGCCTATAATCCTAGTACTCAGGAGGCTGAGGTAGCTACAAGTTCAAGGCCAGCCTGGCAGATACCAACTACTAGCCAGCCTGAGCTATAAAATGAAACTCTGTTTCAAAACACCAAAACTAAACAAATAACAACAACAAACAACCACTAAGCCCCTTTAAATGTTAACATAAAATAACCGGCTTTATTAAGACATTTAATTTAAGTGTGTATTTGTACCTTGTCCACAGTCACCCTATTGGTCTCTTTTGTCTGTCATGCGCTCCCGCTAGTTCCCCCTTCCAAATAGTCCCCCTTCTATTTTCAGACAGTATACATGTGTGTATGTGTATATCCTACGTATGAGAGAAAAAATTGCAAGTATTTTGGTAACAAAACCCTTCCTATCAGCTTCCATGTTAAAAATTAAAATTAAATACCATGTTACTAATGATGACATGCATATATTAAGTATATAGTAAATATAGGAACTTATAGAAATCAAATATTTTGTACCTCAGGTGGTGGCAATCTGATAGTATAGACGTCTATACTTAGACAAACTTGTGTTTCTGTTACGCTGATGTCTAATACAACAGCACTTTGCTTTCCCATATGGGAAAGAAAATCTCACCATTAAAAAATTCACAGAATATACCACATTATTATAATTCAGAAATAATCATTATTGACAAACATAACCATTTGAAGTGCTATGAAAATCATAAAACAAACATCTAATGACAGCTCTTAGAAAAATATAATCTCTCGTGCTGGGCAGTGGTGGCACACGCCTTTAATCCCAGCACTAGGGAGGCAGATCTTCCTTTAAAATTTTAATCTCTTGATATAAAATACTTAGAAAGTATTTTACATATTTTAGCAGTAATTCAAGATGGCCCATTGGGCCCAACAATACTGACAATCTGTGTTATTTTACCAAATCCTTCATAACATACTTTATCCTTCATAACATAGTCTCAAGTGGTATAATAATAAAATTATTTTAAAGCAGCATCAACAGGCCTCTGTATTATCCCCATGTAAGGAGATGACAGTGGTGTTATTGTGGGCTTGTCTGAGAATGTGTAGAGTTGGAGCTAAGAACTCTTCTCTAAAGGTGAGATACATTGAAATCAAGAACAGATGTACACATAGAATCAATCTAGTTCAGACAGTCCCAATGAGACTGGCAAACGAAGTCACCTCGTGCCAAGAGATGACCTGTTTGTTCTATTTCAGGCTGGAGCAAGTCGAGCAGGGAATGAATATGAAAGGCAGTTTTGAAAAATGACAAGAATTACTCCTTGTGGAGCCTCCATCTTAGCTTCATATTTTTCAATATAGGCATTAAGTCTCCCAGATTTAAAAAATGGTATCGACATCACGACCCAAATTTGGCTTAATATTCCAGGCACAGGCACTGTAAGAATATCTTCATGCAGAAGTAGCAACTGCCTGCACATCTTTATCTGCGTACTCCTAATCTCTGTTTCTGCCACCTTGCTACTCAGTTTTATCTGGACAGCACAGAGTCTGTGTAAATCTGGAAGAATGATAAAGAACAGAGACGGATGCCTGGACTCATTCGTATTCTCTTGTTTACTATGTGTTTCAGCAACCAGACCTTCAGAAACAAATAGCTCAGTCTGTTAGACTCCATGCTGTCCTCAGCACCATCCTCCCGGGGAATGCCCTGCGCTCCCTCGAGCCTCGAACTCTCCTGGGACGGAGCTTCTGTCAACTCGCACGCTTGAACTGTGAACTGTCTTTAGAAACCCACATTTCTGCTTTTTTGTATTTTATCTATTTGCTTCTTGATGTAGATTGTTTTGGTTTTTGAAGCAATTATCTAATTATTCTCCGTCAATAAAAACTCAGGAATCAGATATCCGGAAAAGAACCTGAATGATAAGAGAAGCAGTGACCAGTGACCTCCTCTCTTTCTCCTTCTTTGATCCAAAAGGGCCAACAATCTTTCTAAGCCCCTCTCTACTGCTTCCTGTGTCTCTATATATGTCCCCAGGCCTCCAAAACCTCTATGGCTAATTTTGGTCCGCTAATAGCTAGCTCTGCCCTCCGATTCAAAGTAAACTTTATTGGCAGTCTCGAGAGTGTCAGAGTGCAATTAAAATATCCCACATTTCAGCCTTTTTGTCTAAATAAAAAGACAAGGT